AGTATAAAATGTACAGCCTTTAAAAATGTCTTTTCAACTTCTTATTTGTTAGTTAGAGTTTACTATATTCTCCGTATACTATACGGCAAAAAAGTCTGTTAACTGGCGATTGACTTCTGGCGCAGTCCTCATCCTACCTTTTCTCTGCCTTCATGTCTGTCTCTTTACATCTGTAAATCACTCTTCTGTTCACCACCCCTCGATTTTCTGTCACATTGTTGTTCCTTCCGTCTATGAAGCCCGAAGTCAACTAAAGGGCTGATGATAACTATCAAAACGCCTGCCATTTGAAATAAATAAATAAATATTCTCCGATTTGCTCACTGTTGTCAATTATCACCAATGCTCTTTGATATTCGGTACCGGTTTGAGTACCATCCCAGCAAACAGAAAAAGCAAGTCCGCTCACAAAAACTAATAGAACTGTTTCCAAGTTATCGATCAGCAATTTGCTAATTACACATGATATCCATATAAACATGAAACAGAACCCACTAATGCACCAATCAAAAAAATGATTCAACAGCTCTTCAGGCTTCTTAGAATGACCTTATTAAGATGGACCCATAAACTTGCGATCAGTAACTTATTACTTGTTATTAGTACGAAGTGGCGAAAGTAGCCTTAACTAAGAGGGTGTGTGGCATTCATCGAACATACTCAATTTACTACAAACGGTTGTAACAGTTGGGTTAATTGTCCCAGATGTGGCGCTATCCACTATACGTGATCATTTGAATACAATTTTTTCGACTTTAATTAATAATTACCTAATAATTTCCGAGACAATTAATAGTTTGATAATTACCTATTACTATTTTAACAATAAATATACTATGGCGGCGACATCTCTATGATGAACTGACAAAAACGCTTGAGAATCTGTGAATTCTTACATAGTTGAGAGACGCTATAATGTATAAGGGGACGAAATTTGAAGAAGTTGTTAAAACGCCGACATAGCAACTACCTTAGAATATGCCTAAAGCTATATAATAGGAACAGTTGAAATGATTGCCAAAGCGGACACCAGGACTTCTCAGAAATGCAAATGGAATATATGTCGGAAAAGGAGAACAGCAGCACTTCCTTTCCGTTTAAAAGAAGCAAACTGTGATAAAGTGAAAATCATACAGTTGTTAATGTTAAGGTTATAAATTCTGCATTTTATACAATTTCAACATGGAAAATGAATACGTTTTCCACTAGACGGTTTCGAAAACGAAGATTTTATGTAAAATTTGCTCAATGTATCTTAATTGTACTTTGTATTTTGAAGTTTATTTTGCTTTTACACATCGCAAAAGTTGGCCATAATTTGAATTATCCTTAAGAAATTAATAAGAAACGATAAATTATCGCCTAACTTGTAGTAAGGCATAGCTTTCAAGTAATATATATTCCACAATACAAGAGAAGTGTTCTAATTTATTGCAACTTGCATCAAAGTAATTTTGAACCTACAAGAAATTCCTTCTGTTCATTTGCAGTATATATAAATATTTTAATATTTAATGAAGAATAATGTGGTCAAAAACTATCACGAAGGAACAAATAATGAACTACTCAATTATCAGGGGTACGAATAAGTTCTATTAAATTATTAGAAAGGCAAACATTAAGATTTATAGGAAATGCTATTCCGATTAGACTTTATGGCATTTTAAAAAATGCGGCTTGAATTCTTTGATAAATTGAATAGGGCCATATAGGCTTAACAAAATAATGCTCTTGTTTGGGGTATTAAAAAATAGAAGAAACTAGTGTGATTCCGAAAATAGGTATTTATACATATAATAGAAATGATGAATAAAAAATGTGTAATGAATTTCAAGTTTAAATCGAAAGCTGAAAATTTACAATTATTTTACTGGTTTCAGTTGTCGGTTATGCGCGCGTTTAAGTCAGCCCCGGTTTCGCATTCCTTGACTGTTGTCGCTTTACTCTAGAGTCATGGCGGATGATTTTGATGTCGAAAAGCTTCTCGAAGCTCCATTTGAGAAGGGAGTATGTACATGATTTGATTTTAAGCGCACTATTTTGTCTTTCATTTATGCGTTTATTTCCCTCATTTCTTTTTTTGACTGCTTGCATGTGGTAAAATATGAATTGGCGTTCCGAATTCCCTTAGATTAAGTAATGATATGGGACTAGAAATAATGAGGTGGGGTCACGTTTCGTTAGTGGACCGGATAAATCTAGTGTCATTTTCAATCCATGATAACAAAGGGTTAATCGATCTGAACTTCGTCTTTTATTTTATTAGATTACTTTCGGAAGTACCCATCAGCGGTGACGTCAGTGGGCGTCTGGCTAATTCCCTTTCTTCATGTAGTTATAATTTTGTTTCACTCATCAGTATGTATTTAGCTCGCTCATCTAACATTTTGTATTCGATTCTCTTTGATCTTCGTATCCTCTTTGCGTGCGCTCGTACGTAATTTCCTTGCGTGTGTTCCTTCTCTGACGTCGTCGAACAGGCTTCTCCCACGGACAGGAAGGAAAGCTCTCGACGTCGCGATCGATCTAGATCAAGGTCCAAAGATCGCAAAAGGTTTGTTCCGTTTTCGGTTCTCTAATCTCAATTATATTTAGGCATCGGGACAGGAGCCCAGATCGCAGGCGAGATCGAGACGAGCATAGAAGGCGGGATCGTGATCGACGTGACAAAGATAGAGATAGGGATTTAGATCGAGATAGGCGTCGTGATCGGGACTATGATCGGCCTCGGTATGAACGTTCAAGACGGGATAAATCTCCTGACAGAGAACGGGAGGATTCAGAGGATAAAGGCCCAAGGAAGTACTATCGCAATGGAGAACCTAGGCCAAGAAGGTACGTTGTCAATTTTGGTCATCAGTATTTTTTAGTCCTGAATTGACTCCTGAGGAGAGAGATGCCCGAACGGTTTTCGTGTGGCAATTGTCTGCGCGTATTCGCCAAAGAGATCTTGAGGATTTCTTCTCCTCCGTGGGCAAAATTCGTGATGTTCGTCTCATAATCGATGGAAAGACCAAACGCTCTAAAGGCATTTCCTATGTTGAATTTCGTGAGGTTGAATCTGCTCAATTAGCTCTGGGTTTAACTGGCACAAAATTACTTGGTGTTCCTATTCAGATTCAGCAATGTCACGCTGAAAAGAATCGAATTGCTAGTGCTGGAGGTACGGTAATGACAGCGAGTACCTATGGGAGACCGGCTTCTTCTAGGGGTCCAATGAAGCTCTACGTGGGATCGCTTCATTTCAACATCACTGAGGATATGCTCCGTGGTATCTTTGAACCATTTGGTCCATTAGATGATATTAAGCTTATCAAAGATCCTCAAACAAACCGCTCCCAAGGTTATGGGTTTGTCACTTACAGCAATGCAGACGATGCGAGAAAAGCACTTGACCAATTAAACGGTTTCGATCTAGCTGGCAGGGCCATGAAGGTTAACTATGTAACAGAAAGGAGTGATTATGCTAATCTGAGTGCACTTGACAACGAAGAAGCTGATAGAACTGGTGTTGATCTCGGAACTACCGGTCGATTAGCACTAATGGCTAAGCTGGCTGAAGGGACTGGTCTAGAAATGCCGAAAGCTGCTTTAGCTCAGCTCCAAGGCAATCCGACTCTTGGAATTGCTGGCAAAGTTAGTTCGGCGTCTGCTATAGCTCCTCCGGTCTGCACCCAATGCTTCATGCTGTCTAACATGTTTGATCCGCATGTTGCTTCGCACACTACCTTTGAGGAGATTAAGGATGATGTCATTGTCGAATGCTCAAATCTCGGTGGAGTTTTGCACATCTTTGTTGATCAAACTAGTGCCCAGGGCAATGTCTACGTCAAATGCCCAAGTATTGCCATTGCAACTCAATGTGTTAATAAGTTGCATGGTCGCTATTTTTCTGGTCGATTGGTTACGGCTGCCTATGTACCCTTGATAACTTACAATCAACTGTTTCCGGATTCTGTTACTGCTAAAACTATTTTGAAACCAACTTACTCGTAACTGCACGTATGCCTGTCTATGTTGTGGCCAGTGTTTACTTTATTACAACCTGAATAGTTGTGTAAATAAAAGAATTTTACATTTTAATATTTCTCCTTGTATTTTTGGGTTGCTCGTGGTTTTATAATTTGCTTATTTGTCTAAATGGTTTTTGGTGCTGCTTTAGGGTTAGGTTAGGGTTATTTGACGTAACGTCATGTATAGCGAACACCCTGTGTATTGCGCTGGCGGGATTCTACCTTATGTCACTCCTCAAGGTAGGTAAAAAGGAGTCAGTGCCTCAAAAGGCAGTCAGCAAATGGAGGGGATGGAATCCATCCTTAAGACTTCTCCAAGAGAAAATGGAAGGAGTCAAACTAAAAATATGGAAGCTTTTTAAATGGTTAGCCATAGGCATTCCGATAGAAGATGGTTTAGCTAATCTTATCCTTTTGTAATGCTTAAGGCAACTAAACATTAAGCCTGGGAAATCGTTACTAATTGTTGCATTAGTAGATCACTTGAATATAATTTCCTTAATATCTCTATTACGTATCTGCTGCAATACGAAATTTGCGGTAATTTAGAGTTCACATCAGTTACTTCTGAAAGCTTGATGATAAATCACTTTCTCTAATATTAAAAAAAAGATTTTTTATTTGCAAGATAATTCTTATTTCTTAGCTAATAAGCTCTCAATAGAATCATAGTGAACCACTTTGACCCGTGGTGTTCCTGCGCGAAAACAAACAGGTTCTGACACAAACAATTCGCGTGTGTGAAGCTGTTGTTCATCTTCTTATCTTTACGGTTTCAGAAAGCCAGGTATTTTTAGAAGAAAAGGTGCCTTTGGTGGAAACATCGATTCTTAACTCGAATTGCACATGTAGAGGAAATCTTTTCCTTATTTTTGCTGAAGTTAAAATGAATCAATTTGCCTCATGAGTTTCACGCTTTTCACTCTTTCATAAACGCATGGATATGGGGATTGGATCAGTCAACTCTGATATTTCTTGCGGAGGCGATTAATACTTCAGGGAATTGTTGTGAATAGCAACTGTCAGATAATCGTCCTGCATTGTGAAATGCCAAGTAGTTGTCCTTATTTCGACGATGCCACAATACTGGAAGATGAATTAGCTTATTCAACAACCATCACCCGATTTTTATACCGTGATAACTGCTACGAACCTTCCTCCATTTCTTTAGATCGAATATCTCACAAAGCCCCTATCCTTGACTTAAATTCCAGTTAAGAAACCTCTAATAGAAGTTTTATATGTTAAAAGGCAGATAAAATATCAGTCACTGGTCTGTTTCGAGCCCAACTCAACCGGATAATTGGAAACGATTTCGGATTAAATGTTCGTTGGTTCGTATAGCATTGAAAAAAATGATAGGAAAATATACTATCGAAGGCGTCAATATCAACCCAACAATACTAGGGCCGGTTTACCATTTAAGAGTCAACCACTTGGAAGCTAAACAATGTAAAAGCGATTTAATTCAATTATTTCTCATTGGTTTGCCAGGTGTCATAAATTCGTGAAGTGGAGTAAAAATGGGCGCTATTTTTCTCGCATTGCGATAAAATTAGATGGATCCCGGAAAAACTTTACCTAAGGAAATCTACTCTAAACTCGATGCCTTATACTTAATGTGCGTGACTATTATAATGGAAGTAGAATTATGGAAAAGGATTTATTGGGTCATTAACTGATAGTATCGGAAAGATTGCTATGCCCCTTTGTAGAGCTATCTTAAAGTATTCTCGGCGTTCGAGTAGTTGCTTAGCAGGCACCTTTGAACTTGAGAGAGGAGTTGTCGATGAATTATGGAAAGTGTTAAAACAGTTAATCTTTTAGAACTCTGTGTGACTGAGTACTTATCTGCTATAACTGGCGTTAGTACTCAGTAGAAGGTAAAATTGCACTAAAAATGCAGTACTTTACCTTGGAATATGGATTAAGATCCAATAAATGGTGCTTTTAGTGACCTCTTAAAGGTTGTAGCAGATTGCTACACTAATTAGCCTTGGCGTATGCTTAGTAATCTGCATGCCAAGATCGCCTAACCCTTAACGGCTCCCAGGATTAGCAAATCTACCCCCAAATCTATAGAGGAGATAGATGCATGACGCAAATAAGTTTATTTGGTAAATGCGTCACAAACAAGGATCTTAGTCATTATTTTACAATGGAGAATTTGTTAAGCCAAGCAACGTCAATTGAATTGGTGTTGGCTGGGTGGCCTCCGCTATAACCACCCCACTTACCCCCAACACGAAGTACTACGGCCGCACCTTCGAGCATATCTAAGTGCTCATGGGATGCCTTTATTCAGCGATGACAACGTTGTTTGCTCCAAATGATTCACCTTTTATTTAAAATTTTTGCTTTCTTTATAGTCTTTTCTTTCCGTTTAATATACAGGGTTAATATTGTAGCGGATTGCTACGCTAAAACCCGACCGACTCAGAAATCTCTATGGCAGATCCTCCTACATCTAGCAGACCGACTCAGAAATCTCCATGGCAGATTCTCAAACATCTAGCTACCGGCTCAGAAATTTCTATGGCAGATTCTCCAACATCTAGCTAGGAATCAGAAATCTCTATGGCAGATTCTCCAACCTCTAGCTAGAACCAGCTAAGCTATATCCCAGCTATAAAGGAAACAGACGATAATTCGGAACACGTATATTCAGTCACGTAATGATCAGAAAAGTGTGCACGGAGCACGTTTATTCAGGACGTATCTTGCGGATCAAGTGCGGAACACGTCTATTCAGTACGGATATTGTGGATAAAGTATACACGCAGGGAGCTACTCATGATCAGGATGGGGGATTAGGTTAAATAGAGGTTGATGATTGGTCACTGTTTGTACGGTCGCTGAACACAGAGTTGTACGGCCGCACCTCACAATCCCGGCGAGCAGACAGCAGGCATACGATGACGCACAATGCGATAACGCGTCCCACAGTATCAACGTTTGTTTGCAATTTTGATTATTATTTCTGAAGGTTTTTGTTCAAACCTCCTTGAGATTGAGCTAAAGACGAAAACGTGAAAAACATGGAATTGGAGAAATGAATTCTCATATGGTATGTTTTTTCTGCCATCAATACTGAAAAGTTAATTTCAAAAGGGAAAATATCAGCACAAATCTGCATTAAACAACGGAAATCTACATCTATAGTTAAATTAATAATTACATCTGTGTGGGCTTTCGTTTACATAATTCGAAATAAGACATTGACACCACGGCCAAAATTTCACGTAAAGTTATGTACGAATGCTAATAAAATTAAGAAATTTAACGCTATTGTCACAAAATTGTTAATCTTTTAGTTGCATATGTCAAGAAGAAATTGGAATTGATAAATCAGACATTTTCTTCATGCGAACAAGTGAAGAGTAAAGGAATCCTTTGTCTTTTCACGACGTAATGCGTATCATCTTTTGGTTTAAATTAAATGGTTCTATAATTTATTGTATTGTGATAGATTGCGTTTTCATTTAGCTTTTGCTATGAAAGGTACCAAATCGGCAGTTTGTGAGAATAGTTTCTGTTAAGGATCGCTTGTAAATTTTAGGAAGTGCCATTCAGGCGAAATGTCAAATATGCTTCACGTTTTCAGAGACTAATTGAGGATATTTGTGCATGGGAAGCTCATTTTTTACATTTTCGGTTTACCTTGTTGAGTTGATTCGTATTGTCATGAATTGAAGCTTGAAGAGATCTTACCTGCAAATGAATGAATGCACTGATTGGTCTTTTTATTTTGAGACATTTTGATTAATTCGGTGGAAAATGTACAAGCTTGTTAGTTCGGATGAAGGCACCTACTCCATCAACACAACCATTGAGATCTAGGACGCCAGACAAAATTCACCTCTTAATATTTCAAGCAACTGTGTAGTTATCAAGTAACTAATGCACACTTTTTGGGTTTTGCGTGCCAAAATAAACATTGTTTTCTACCTGGCAACATGTGTCCTATAGGATCTATACTTTTTCCACAATGAAATCGATATAACTGTGTAAACGCCACCAAATCATTCAGATATGTTTAAACAGTTCTTATAATATTCAACGACATTCTTACCTCCACGTGGGCAAATTGGGCAACGTATATTCATACGGAAAAAGTCTATTAATCGGCAGTTGACTTCTGACTCCAAACTACCATCACCCCACTGTTTGCCATACTCGACTAATTTCACAGTACTCACCTCACCGTATTTCCACCCTTGTGTCTGTCTCATTTACTACTTTGAAATACTCTTCTATTCCCCCATCCTCTCGACTTTTACACTTTGAAGTTCCTTACCTTATGTGAAACCTGAAGTCAACTAAATGGCTAATGATAACCATCAAAACGCCTGCAAAATCGATATAAATAAATAATTCACAGCGTATAAGTTAAAGTGTTTTCATACAAAAGAGACTTACGTGTCGCCTAGGCACAATAAAAGCTAAAAATAGCTTAATTTAATTAATTAGACTGCTCAAAGAAATTCACACTATTATGTGGCGTTTGTTTTTTAAAATATTTAAATTGGTTTCCATGAGGTATGAGTATCGTCACTTTTGAAACCTTGCTGAGAAACATTTTAAAATACTAAACGTAAATTGTTCGATCTTTGTGACTAACAGAATATAACAAGTTCTTCTCACTGTCAGAAGGTAGACCAGTAGTACATTAAACAATTGCACAGGAAATGGGAAAATTTGAATTGGAGAGCTCGTAGGCGCAACTTAACTGTTTGCGAGGCAATAAAATTGACCAGTAAGAATAAGAATATAGCTTTTAGAGCAAATATAAGACCATTGAATTAATAGTTCATCATATCATTGTAGTAATTGGGTTAATTTCTAATTTCAATGTGATCAAATAAGATTTTCTATTTTGGCCTCTTCATAAAGAAACATACTTTTAATTCTTTAAATATAAAAGATAATCATTTATGTCACCTACTTTTACGTAAACAAATTAACAATAGTTTTGCTGCTAATAGAAACAATCCTAGAGGTTCTATTTACTCCACCGGGTGTTTCAAAAGCAATAAAATGTGATTTGTTTGCCTTTTTGTTAATACAAAACGATGTTGTCTTTTTTATCACCTATTTCCTTTTATAATACCTTTTTTGGCTTTATGCACGTTTTAACCTACATTTATGCAAATGTCTATGCTTTTATATTGCACACGTATTTCTATTCTTCTTTCATATTTTTAATGCTTTATTTGTCATTTAGAATGCGTTTGTTTTTTTTAATGTCACACCAAGGTGAATAACATACTAGTGTCATATTTTTAAGACTAAATGAATATAAGTGAGTCCCAGACAAAAAAGATTCTTGAGGCACAACTGTACCAAGCTGCTCAAGTTATTGAGGATGCAGTTGATCAAGAAATCGCCAAACTAGACAAAATGGATGAGGATGAATTGGAAAAAATTCGTCAGCGCAGATTAGCCGAACTGAAAGAAAAAGCCAACAAAAGGGAGGAGTTGCTAGCTAAAGGCCATGGTATCTACGTCGAATTGCCCTCAGAAAAGGATTTCTTCGATGTCTGCAAGCAGTCAAATAATGTGTGCGCGCATTTTTTTAGGAATACTACTATGCGTTGTGCCATCTTTGATAAACATCTATCAATCCTCGCTCCCCGCCATCTTGAATGCAGATTCATCAAGGTTGATGTCGAGAAGTCTCCCTTCCTTGTCTCTCGTTTAGGAGTTCGTGTTCTACCGACTCTGATATTGCTTAAGGATGAAAAAGTCGTCTCTCATGTCATTGGATTTGATGATCTCGGTGGGCATGACGACTTCAGCACCGAAATGTTGGAATGGCGTTTGGGAGTAGCTGGTGTTGTTGAGTATAGCGGTGATCTTAGCCAGCCCCCAGATACAGTGAAGAGTAAGAAGAATCTGACTTTCAAGAGAAGCACAAAAACAATTCGTGGTGGAAGGAGAGGTGATTCTGAAGAGGAGGATGATTAAAGTGGGATAAGTTTTATCTCCTGATGTTACTGTGTTGTTTACTTCTCAGTGAAATGTATTTAATATGCTGCAAATTGTGTTCTTTACTCGCTGGCCGTTACGCTCAAAGCTATGTATTTATATGAGTAATCGATCAGTGATCTCTTTTTAGGCTTTTTAGGTATTGCTTTTTTACCATGTATTGGAGTTTAATCTAACCATAGCCGATATCTATTACCCATAAACGATATCTCCTTTAGTCGAATCTTTAAGGCCCATCGTAATAAAAAGAAGGCAAAATCAAATTTTTGCGAATGCGGAGTGTGACTTTCATCCCTTATTTAAAAAGTAGGAAGTGGGAATAACTGTCAGTGGCTGGTTAGGTCTATATGGACCAATCACGTCATAGATACCTCCAATCAGGTCTGGATAATAGACATTTTTTTACCACTGATCTTGGATACTGCCTTCAATTTATGGGAACTACTTTGTCCTATTACCATCGCATCAGGCTTTGTTCATTGGGTAATGTCAGTCCACAGGTGTGTTCAGATTGGGCTGTGTCGACGGAGTATTTACAAATTTACGACAAATATAGGCATAGTAAGGACTGTCAACTGTTTACATGTTGAGTCATTTCTAATTCGAAGAAATTGCAGATTGAAGTATATGCTAAGATGCCCACTCGTGCCTGGGAATGTACTCTCGCCACGGATGTAATTATCGACTAAGTAGTGAAACACTTTTAACTGGTACCAAGTTATTCACTCTATATAAGGTCGATTGTTTGACTTGCAAATCCTTTTTATTGCATCTTGATCTGTACAGTAGCTGCAGCGGTAAGATAACTGCATTGGAAATTTGGTAATATCACAAATTTAGTGCATATTATGCCTTCTTTTGCTAAGTGACATCCAGTGTTTATGGATTTTCTACCACTGATAACGAAGACGATTTCTGTATGTACACAATTGAATTGTGAAGGTCTAGGACGAATAAATGGCTCAATGTGAAGGGATTGCCACTGATATATTTCTGAAAGAATGTCGAAGAGCGATGCCATGCATTCTATGCTCTGCCTCGGGATGAGAAACCTTGAGGATGGTCTTTGAACCACTTGTCTCTATTATAACGCTTTACTTTTATTTTAACCACACTGTCTACTCTCCATGCGCGCTACCTCAGAGTTCTCTTATCAACCTTTGTACCTCTTATACAGTGATTCGATTATTTTGCCTATCGAAAATAAGACACTGTTTAAGCTATTAAACGCGATTCCAAAGGCTTATCCAAATGCTGAGCTCCCAAATATTACGTGCATTAAATACAAAGCGGGATAACCGATGAAAATATGATATGAAGCATCTCCAGTAAAGTAG